CCCACCCACCCACCCACCCTAGAATATTACATTTCACAAAGCCGGCACAGAAAGTGGAGGATTCAAAGCGAGGGACTGATTAAAAAGAACATCAGAGATCATCTTTTAAATGTTAATTTTGTCTGGGGCCCGGAGAGTGATAACCTTGAAGTTACTCTGATGTTACCTGTCAGGGTGAGAAGCCCATTAGTTTTATTCCTGTATCACAAAGCAGGTCATCACGTAGGGTAATGTCTCGGTTGCTAAAGCAGCAAGGGACCAAGGATGGGGTCTTTTAGCTTCAAGGTGGTTTTTTCCCTCCTTTATTTGGCTAAAGGACGCATGGGCTCTTGCCAAGGGCGCTCTCCTTGACCTCGGAGCTTCAGATCTCCAAGCAGTGCTAGAGGCTTGTTTGATGGCACGGATGTGCTCGGAATAGCTGACGTGGTAGCTTGGCGTAGGAGGTATTTAATCTTCGCAACGCTTCTCTTCGAGTTGGTAGTGAAGCCATAGATCTCATAAATCTGAGCGTGCTGTAGTCGGAGGGAAGAGGAAGCACTGAGGTGCCCTGGACACGTTGGTTTTGGTAGCCTCTGGTTTGCAGGACTCCTAATTTCCTGGAAGCTTGTGGTTTGGTTTTTTTTTTTTTTTGTAATATTTTTTTCCAAATCTGAGGGTGCTGGACCTCAAATGACAGCTGTGAACATGCATGTGAAAAGTGAATGTATTTATTGCAACAGAGAAACCAGCTGTAACAGCAGTTCTGTCTCTTGTTCTGATTTTTAAAGCCTCGGAGAGGTGAGGAGCCTGGAAGCCAGTCCCAGGGAAGGCATGGTGACCTGGGACAGATGCGAGGGTGTCCTGGCCGTGACGCAGGTGACAGAAGAAAGCGTTAACCCCTATGGGTGTCGGTTGGTTTCTGCCAGCCATGCTGGGGATCATCAGCCCGGGTCTGAGCGTAGATGCGAGCAAGTGCGTTGTCCACAACTTGGTGGCTGTTAATGAGCATGGCCTTTCCTTAGCTGGTGGCTGTCTTGGAGCTTTGAGGGACCGCAGGTGAAAAATTAAGGGCATTAGTGAAGATGCCAGGTAATGGGAGAGCCCCCGTCCTACTGAGAGCAAAACTTGGAAACAGAAAACATGAGCGTGTTCTACAGCAAGTTTTGGAAGAGCTCTTCATCTCTTCGTTGTCTTACCTGGTTGCCGCCTTTTCCCTCCTTGCCTTCTGTTTCAGTTGAGCTGTTGCGGTAAGGATGAAATTGTAGGTGTAGCATCTCAGTTTAAAAATGAGTTTTCTACTCTGCTTGTGTGCAGCCATTTCAGATATGAGATGCTTACTGTCATGCACGATGGCCAAGACGTTGCCCAAGGACTAGAAGAACTCTTTCCTTGTCATGATGTTCCCAGCTCCTAGAAAGCTGTGCAGTAGGGTAGCTGGAGAGATGACTGCCTGGCTGGGCTCGGCTTTGCAAGCCTGATACTCGGGACTGGAGATGGAAAGGCTGCTCCTGCCTCCTCGGTTGCAGCTATGTGGTCTTTTGCCTTGGGTTTCCACCACGTCGGGTTGGAGGCACCAAGCGTTCTGGAGATAGCACTCCTGCTTTTGGAGAGTACAGAAGGAGCAAGCCTTGGGAGGAAAGACCTCCATAAGCTGGAGCTCTGCTTCATTATGGTCTTGTTCTCAGAGCAAGGGGTTTTTAGGCAGTAGGGACCCAAAGGATCTATAGGAGCAGCCTACATATGGGCTGTTGTGCCGCATGTCCTCAGCTGGCTTACCCTGGGGTAGCAGTGGCTTGGGTGGTGGTTGGCTTAGGCTTGAGCGTGTAGCTGTGGCTTGGGTGGTGGTTGGCTTAGGCTTGAGCAAGTGCTGAAATCCAGGCATTTTTAAACCAGATAGCTACTATGTAGGAGAAAAAGGATCCAGGGAAATGCTCTTGATGTCTGACTTAGGCCTCAAATAAACGTGGCATTGAAAAAAGTTGTTGGAGAAATGGCACTGATCTGTATTTTCTACACTGTCTTGGGAATCCTTTCATAGGCTCAGTTGCGTTTCAAGGGCTGTGTATATCTGTACACACAGAAGTGTGCACTATCCTTAGTGAATATAAAATGAATACAGAAATATTCATGGAGAAATTAAGTTCCCCCTGAAAAGGCCTCCCCCAGTAATGTGTTTTTTTGAGACAAACGGTGTTGAAGCAGTCTTCTAGAAACTGGGCTCTATCTTAAGACCGCTTGTCCTCTACGGCAGCTGATATTTGTCGGCCGGGTTAGAGCGTGTTCAACCTGCTTTTCCTAAACTGTGCTAGCAGAACTTGGTTTCTCATTGTAAGTCACGTTTAAAACTTTTCTGCATTCGATACGTAGATGTCTTGTTTCTTCTGGTGACAGTCCTTAGTTTTATGCGTGTAGAATGGAGCGTTGTGTGGGCTGGTCTGAGTCTGGGATTTGTTTCTCCCTTAATTCGAGGAAGGCTGAGTTTGTTTATCCTGGGTTGTATCGTGGAGTTACTTGAGTTTTTTGGTGTTGAAATAAGTTGATGTCTTAGATGTGGTGAATTGTTTCTTACAGCCTGGTCTAGAGGAATCAGGTTTAGTGTTTGCTGCTTGAAGTAGAAATTCGGGAGAAAAATTTTGTGGAAGGCCAATGGCATTCTGGGGTGCATTAGGAGGAGTGTGGCCAGCAGGACGAGGGAGGTTCTCCTTCCCCTCTACACTGCCCTAGTGAGGCCCCATCTGGAGTCCAGTGTCCAGTGCTGGGCTCCCCACTTCAAGAAAGATGAGGAGCTACTGGAGAGAGTCCAGCGGAGGGCTGCGAGGATGGTGAGGGGACTGGAGCATCTCCCCTATGAGGAGAGGCTGAGGGAGCTGGGCTTGTTCAGCCTGCAGAAGAGAAGGCTGAGAGGGGACCTTAGAAATGCTTATAAATATCTGCAGGGTGGGTGTCAGGAGGATGGGGCCAAACTCTTTCCAGTGGTGCCCAGAGACAGGACAGGTCCTGTGCAGCCTGCTGTGGGTGACCCTGCTTCGGCAGGAGGGTTGGACTGGGTGACCCACAGAGGTCCCTTCCAACCCCGACCATTCTGTGATGCTGTGGAAGCCAAGGGCGCAAGAAGATGATGTGGTTGGGAGAGCTCTCCGGACTGCCCTGCGTTGAGGTGTAACCCTGCAGCTGGCCTTCCCAAACTGAGCTAATAGGTCAAATATGCAAATGCATACTCATGGGATTTTTAAATTCTTTCCTACTTTTCTCCTTCAGCACATTTTACAAAAAGATGACCATTAGATTCTTATCCTTCCAGGTAACCTCTTGTGAAAACACGCAGTCGTTTTCTTTCATTTTGAAGATGTCATCATTACTTCTATCTCCAGGAATAACACTTGCAGGAAGATATGAATTTTCCTCGTGCTCTCCAAGCTGTCCAGGTTATTCAAGCTGTTAGGTGCTTTGCAGTACAGCAATTGGGGTTAAATACGCCTTTTGCAAAGGGTCTGAATGGCTGAAATTGCAGCTGAACTGGAAGGGTAATTGCGCGAGAAGAAAGTTCATCTTTGTTTAACTTCTCTAACTTCTACATTTGCTGCACTGGAAGCTGTCATAACCCCGTTTCTTCTGAAGAAATGGATTATTTACTTGTGATAATAGCCCCATAAAATCATTAAAATGCTGTCATAAACAGCTGGGTTAACTGTGCCGTAAGCGTCGGTGCCATAAATAAGATGCCCAACGAGAAGCTGTGATTTACAGGCGGAGCACAGTTGCCTTTGGGAGAAGGGGAAGCAACACATGGTTTCAAAATAACTACTCTTTCACGCGTTGTCAATAGATCTTTATACTATTATGTGGTTTTTGTGGTGTATAGCAAAAGTGCTGTGTTCCAGCGTAGAGCGTTTGGGCCCGATTCTGAGATGCTTCCTGCAGTAACTGGAATCGGAGCGTAAAGACAGATGACAAGCAAATTGGGATTTGACTGTTCTTGATGTTACTGGACAATGAGTTTTATTCGGAGGTCTTGTGGTGCTGTTGTCATCGTGCCTGAAATGCTCCGCAGTTGAGGCTTCCAACTCTTGCTTTCTCCTTTGCTCAACTTGATTAATTTTTTGAAGCCGTAACTTTTTCATTTATGCACTTTGAAGGAAATTCTGCTACCTGGCTGTTTCACTTAATCACAGAATCACAGAATGTTCGGGGTTGGAAGGGACCTCTGTAGGTCATCTAGTCCAACCCAAGTACTTAACAATAAAATGGATTTCCATAAAGAAAATGCCAAGTAGTTGTTTATGCTTTCACACAGCCCAGAATCCCAGCATGGCAGGGGTTGGCAGGGACCTCTGTGGGTAGAAACACATAACCAATATTTACTCTGTGCTTCTTATGGTTTTGCTGTTCCAGGTTCACGGATTAAGACTTTCACATCGCTGAGGTTCTTGACCGAGCCTTCGGATGCTGTCACCATGCGCGGAAGCAACGTGTTGTTGAACTGCGTAGCCGAATCGGATCAAGGAGCCCCAGTTATTAAATGGAAGAAAGACGCGGTCTTCTTAAACCTGGCGGTCGATGAAAGGAGGCAGCAGTTGGCCAACGGCTCGCTCTTGATACAAAACATAGTCCACTCCAGGCACCACAAGCCGGATGAAGGGCTCTACCAGTGCGAAGCATCTCTAGAAGGTGTTGGAGCTATCATCAGTCGGACAGCCAAGGTCATGGTAGCAGGTAGGCAGAAACGTTTTTTCTTTTTGGATTGCTGCAAACACTATTGGTGAGAAGGGGCCTTTTTTTTTTTTTAAAAAAAAAAAGAGGCAAAAATTTACATAAAAGCCCTTTGAGTGCCGTGGGTTTTCTTCTTTCCTTCTTCAAAAGAAGCAAAGCTGGGTATGACACTTCTGCAACAGCAATTTATTTCTGATAAGGTATTAGTGGTGTTTAAATATGTCTCATCGCCTCTTCATTGCTGTGAGTTATTTGCTGCATCTTTATTGTCTGCAAAATAAATGAAACCTCTGAAGTTGGAAATTAACTGCTTTTTGGAAGAAATGAAGGTCCCCAAACACGCGAAACTTCTGTAGGGCACTGAATGTACAAATTTTTATGGTTTTTAGGAACTTTCGTAGACGAGCTCATGCAGCTTGCTGGAATTGGCAGCCTCTTTGTGTTTTCTTTGGAGGGCTGGTGCAGGTATATGGCAGAAGGAACAAAAGTTGGTTACCGATGTATCTGAGAAGACACATGGCTTCGTGGATGTAACAAATAGATTTGTAAAAGATGGGTACCTGGAGCTTTGAAGGGTTCGTTTTGCTGCTTAGTTGATCTGTAGAAGGATGTTGTAAGTCCTAAATCTTCTTATTATTGGGGGTAAAAATGGTGTTGGAAATGCTTCAGTTGAGAGCTACTTAGTAACTAATACCAAATAGAACACGTTGGAGTTGCAAATAATTTTGATTACGATCGTTATTTAAGAATTCTGCCAATTCAAAGGGGATGCTTATTGTTTCTGCTCTTGGTGTGGATGGAGCTACTGTGTGTTGCTGATTGCTCTGACTTAGACCTGGTGAAGAATATTCTTGACCTGACATGGGTTGAGCAGCTTGAGAGTAACTTAGTAACCTTGGGAAGAGAGGATAAAATACTCTTTTATGCTCGGGAGAAGATTGCCGCTTCTGGCCTTTAGTGCACAGGTGAGTGATGAGTTTGTTCAGGCGTGTTGGCGATGTGGAGAATCACAGAATGTTCGGGGTTGGAAGGGACCTCTGTGGGTCACCCAGTCCAACCCCCTGCCGAAGCAGGGTCACCCACAGCAGGCTGCACA